TTTCTTTCTTTTTCCTTTTCTCTCTCTCTCCTCTGGTTTCACCCACGGCAGCCACCTCTCTCTCTCTCTCTCCCTTTTTCTTCCACCGCCGGCCACTTCTTCTCCGGGCTCTCTCTCCCGCCGGCCACTTCTCTCTCCGGCCATTTCTCTCTCTTTCTCTCTCACTCGGCTGTTTGGCCGAGACCCACAAAAAAAAAAAAACAACAAAAACGAGAGAAATGGAGAGAAACGAGCTTCAATCACTTTGAGGTAAAGATTTTTTTAAAACCCACATTTGAATTTGAGTTATTGATTTAGGAATTTGAAATTTTTGTTAGATTTGAATAATTTTGAGTTAGGGTTTGGATTTGAGCAATTGTTGTTAGAATTGAATAAAATTTGGGGGTTTTCAGTTATTGGACTTGTTAAATTGATTGAAAACTGGTTTTGATGGATTCTGGAGAATTTATTTTGAAATTGAACTTGAATTGCAGGTTTGACATTTTTCCTATTTATGTCGGTATGTTGCCGAAATTTTTTTAAAAACTTGTTATTAAACTGAAATTAAATAGAAAACTACACCCATGAATTGGATTTCAATTTTTAAAGAACCTCTAAACTGAATTATAAAATCGTTTGTGAAACTTGAATTTGAATTAAGGCATACTAATAGGAAACAATTAAACATGATTGAACTCAATTCGTTTTAGGAATGAGAAATATATCATAAGACACTGCTTTTGTGATAAAGCTAGTGGAGAAGATCGAGTATTAAAGCTTTCGGAGGTTAGGGTGACGAGAAGTTAGCCACAAGTTTGACATCCGAGAGATAGGATATTTTTACCTATTTTCTTGTTAGTCTGTTTTAAAGTGTTTTGGCCAAATAATGTTTTCAAAAGATAAGAACATGCTGATAAAGAAAAGTAATTTCAAGACAATAGTTTGATTTTCGCTATTGATCTCATAATGGATTGATTTCAAGTTTTAATGAACATTTTCGTAAGATAAGATACCTTGCGAACTGATAAGCCCGTTGATGGCCTAGATAGGATATGGAGATTGTGTCTTTAGGGGCAGAACCTGAAACCCGTACGGGCCACTACGGTGGCGTTTGGCCTCGCTTTGGTCGTGAGTAATTTAATTACTTAAATTACTTGCTGGTTGCCTGTAATATGGAATTTCAGTTTATTTACCTTTCAGAAAAATGTCGTTTGTTTCGATTGATTATTTCGGGCTTGACTATCTCATTTTATTTACTTATTTATTTAGTCTTATAACTCTTATCCTACTAGGCATTTCGCTCATTTTTCCTATGTTTCAAAATTTATTAACCTCACCCAGGTGATGCTAGAGGTAGTGCATAATAGGTGAGGAATTCAATTCTAGAAGAAAGGAAGCAGTGAAGCATTTTCCTACATTATCAAACTTATTAAGGCATGTATTAACTATGGATTGTAAACCTTAAACATAACTAGACTGTGGTTGATGCCAGTTATTTACTTTTCTGTATTTAATTATGTGTGCACAAATTGTAACTTTGTGGACGCCGGAGGCTAACTTTTGAAGCCGATCTTAACAGTGATTGTGTTTTCTAGAGTCCGCCTCACCCTTTCTAAAAACTCGATTTCGTTAAAATAGCGGGGTTTGTTTAGAAATACTTGAGTGTTTTGATTTTGAAATCAAATTTTAAAATGTTAATGGTTTAACCACCCTCTAAATCAGGTTTATTTTTAAGCAAACTTTCACGTCACTAACCCCTGTTTGGGAGCGTGACAATTTTGGACACTAACTACTAAAAGTAGGGGCATACGATCACATCTAATCTAAATTGAAAATATAAAAAAGAATAAAAACTAACAAATTGTTATTGTTAGAAATAATAAACAAAATAGAAATAATAAAATAATAAACAAAACAAAAAACAAAACAAAACAAAAAATAAGAACAATAACAAAAAAAAGAATGAAAACAAAAATAGAAGTATAAAATCTATTTAAGGTACTGACTTGACATTTTCTAAGGAAAAAAAAAAGAGAAAAGAAAAACCCTAGAATTCACTAGTAAACCCCAGCTCCCATCACCATACGTCCCCTGAGTGCTGGAGCCTGGTTCACTAGTCTTTCCGCCGTAAAAAAAAACGTAGCCAGCCCTCCTCCGAGCCGATTTCAAGCCACCTTTAAGCCAATCTCCCAAAGGTTGGTTTGTCTTTTTTTTTTGTTGTTTTAATTTTTGTATGAAATTGGAATTTTGTGGTGGGAAATTTCTCCGTTTGCTTTCTATGCTGGTTATGGTTATGGTAGAAAATTTCTCCGTTTGGGTTATTATGTTGTTATAATTTGCAAAGTGGGTTTGTCATCTGATGATGAGATTGCGACATTGAGGACTGGGAACAATGAAGATAATAAACAGGCCTAATGGTATTTGGGGAAAACAGAAAACAGTAGAGTGACAATGAGAAGGAGATTTTCGTTATGGTTATGCCTGAGCTTGTGGTTGTTTCGGTCGAGCTTGCGTTTATTGACCATGAGAATGAGAAGACCTTCAACTGTGTTTGTCATTTTCGTTTGAAGTTGAAGTTGGGTTTATAGATTATTGAAGTTTTGTGTTTGAAGTTTAATTTATGAAATAGGAATTAGTTTATGGAATTCGTTTTATTGTGGAGTTTGTTGATCTTTGATTGATGTTTTTGGAATTTTACATTTGTTTGATTGTTGAAAATTGCTATTCTGATTTTTGGTTGATATTGGTGAAAATTGCTATTTTGATTAGTTTGTATGTTTAGCTCTTTGTGATTGATTATTTGAGTATTTTTGGAAGATTGATATAAGTTTGATTAGTTTGCAATTTATTGAGAATTGGTTGTCTAATTAGTTGGATATTGTTTGAGGTTCATATTTGTGAGATTTGTGAAATTAGTTTGATGTTTGTTGGAAATTGGTATGATTATGGTGTTGTAAAATGATTGCACACACAATTGCAATTAATATGGACAAAACATTCGACCATGTAATTTTAGACTGTACACACACACACACACACACACAATTGCAATTAATATGGCCAAAACATTCGACCATGTAATTTTAGACCGTGCTTTTATCTTCATGTTATTTTATTTTAAACTATGAAAATTTTGTCTTCATATTATGACTTATTTTGGACTATATAATTGTTACACTCGTGTTATAATATTTCTACATGTACTTTGGGTTAGATATATTTTAATGTAGTATGCTTGTTTGGTGGATGGAGAACATCTCTGTCATTTACAAATATTACTAGTGCAAATTGTCCAACAATATTACCAATTAAAAGGGACTTTTGAAGAAAGAAAAATCTATTAAACTCATATTTTGTTGCTAAATAACTGTATAACTGTAATATATGTCATTTTCAGCGCTATATATAGTTGGAAACTTGTTATGATGTACGGAGGGGCATTTAAAAAATATTTAACAATCAAACTAGGGTTTTCCGACATGGTCAACTAATGGAGGGGTGTCTGTATTTTTTTATTTGAAAAGTCAAGGGTTCTTGCCATAATTGGTTAAGGAAGCGTCTTGCTATTTTAGTAAAACATAAGGGGTGTAAGTGTAAAATGCCCTTCATTTAGGGCTTACGCCTCACCTCGATTAGACAAAACGCCTCGGTTCTTGATTATGCTTTTCAAAACTATGATTTCACACATTAATAAAGAGCTAAGTTTGTTTCTACTTTAGAGATTATTATGGTTCTTATTATTTGTTACACCTGAGTTATAGATGAGGTTGAAAAAGCAAAGGCGTGTCAGGAAGTCACTGAGGCTCTACGTTACTTGCTTTGGGTTCAGAAAGCCCTTCAAAGTGCTTTGTGATGGCACATTTGTGCATCACTTACTCGTCAATCGCATTGTACCAGCTGATGATGCGCTAACTAATCTTCTTGGTGCCCCTGTCAAGCTCTTCACCACTAGGTTCCCATTTGGCCTTACAAATCTTCCCTTTTGACTGGTTTCCAATTTTGTTTTCCCAACAAAAGCTTATGAGCCTTTTTTTTAATGCATTTTTTTTTCTTTTTTTGTTATAGATGCGTTCTCGCTGAGTTGAAGAGGCTTGGTCAAGCTTATTCTGAGTCTCTTGATGCAGCCAATAACCTCATGATTGCTAGGTAGCACAATTAGTTCGATTAATTGATGGTTTGCCATATTGGAACTCGTTACTTGTTTGGAAAGTTCTAAATTGTATTTGAAACTTAAATGCAGATGTGAACATGAGAAGCCAAAGGCTGCTGATGCTTGCATTGCAGAGATCATTGGTGAAACCAATTCTGAACACTTTTTTGTTGCTAGTCAGGACGGTGATCTTCGGAAGAAGTTTAAGGAGGTTAGTAAGCCTCTTCTCTTCGTGTACGTTTTCCTTTTATTTCGATATGGTTGTTTCGCCTTCTATTTGTGTCGTGTGTGTTCTGCAAATATCACATTAGGGTGATTTGCTCTATTGGCTGTCACATGATGGTTTGAGCATGAATGATTGTGGATGTTTTTCTAATGTTTGATCATCCTTTTACTCGCAGATTCATGGTGTTCCTATTATATTTGCTTTGAGAAATGCCCTTTTCCTTGAGCCCATATCTGCAACTCAACGCGAACATGCTAAAACTTTAGACAAAGAGCGGTCTCATATGTCTGAGCGGGAACAAAATGTATTAAAGGAGAGAGTGAAGAACATAAAAGAAGAAATAGGAGATCAAAACTTGTCGGTGCAGGCTTTTAAAAATACACCTAAGGGAAAAAACGGAATGTGGGTGAAGGATACAGTTCAATTCAAGAGAAAGAAAGTAAAGGTCAGAAACTACTTTCATTCCTTGTTTTCTTATGTTTGCAATATCTGGCTTTGGTCTTTAGCAGACCTCCTAAGAATGCTTCTGTCAATCTCGCTTTCTATGTATATTCTGCAGGGACCAAACCCACTTTCATGTAAGAAGAAAAAGAACCCGTTAAACAAAAATCCTGTCCCAGCGAAGGTGAGCCTTTTTTGTGGTTTTTAAAATTAGCATGTTCTGCGATCTGTTGCTACTGAAAACTGCAGTATTAGTTTTTGCAAGCTTCCTGGTGATTTAACGCTCTTAATCCCGATGCAGCAAAAGGAATCTGGGAATGATGATGCCAAGAGATGCAGAACTAGAAATCGGAAGACTAGAAAGCGGAAGAGGCCACGCGCGCAAGCTGAGAACTAACAGAGACAAACAGTCTGTACAAGCAAGAGGATAATGGAGTTTAGGATTTAGTCAATTATAAGCTCAGTAATTGTAATTTCAATTATGAGTTGATTAATGAATATCAAGTTTCTACTTTCTTCTTGAGTCCTTATTTTTCTCTTATTAACTCTCTCTGATTTGATTATGTTACCTATTGTTTCTCGTAGATGAATATGATATCATCCATCTTGGTCCTACATCATTAATATATCAGATATTGTCGTAGAACTTTGTCTAGGGCGGTGAGTCTTGTGAGCTTTTACTGTATTTGGCATTTATACGATATTACAGAGCAAGGGAATGGCATGGTAGCATTGAAGTCAAGCCATAATCAAAAGCTCATGATATGTTGTTTCTTTTCCCTCGCAATTATATGAGCTCGTCGGATAAGAAAGAAATGTACTCCATTCTTGTGCATTTAAAAAAAAAAAATGCACTTGATTCTTTCGTGTGACGAGGTATTGGATGACGTTTTGCATATGATTGTGGCACCGGTCACTAGAAAAAAATGAAAAAAAAAAAATGGAAATGATTAGTGCTGTTAAATTTTCAACGAGTTAGAGATGGACATATGAAATTGTAGGTGGTGTATCGTAATTGTAGTGTTACAGTATGCTTTGTGATTAGTTTGAAAAGGTTTAATAATGACTTCACTCACGGTGATAAATGATCTCACTCGCGGTGAAAACGGGTAATAATGATCTCACCTCGCTTATGGTATATACGAAAGACTTATTTTTTTGGAGTAAAATTTAAAAAAAGTTTGAATTCAAGTTAAAATTTTATTTAAGTTCATATATATATATATTTTTTTTTTGTAAAATTTGAGTTTTAACTTGAGTTTAGGGTTAAAATTTAAGTTTAAATTTCTCTATCAACTTAAGTTCTTAAACTCAAACTCAAGTTAATAAACATTATTTTTTCTATTATTAAAAACATCATAACTTTTTCGTTTTAATTCTGATTGAGAAATTTTTTTTTCTATGAGTTCACAACGAAGAGATGAATAAAACCCCACATATACCCTATTAAAATTTTTCATCACCATTAAGTTTTTATTAAAATACTATATAAATATAAATTCAAGTTTTGACCTACCCAAACACAAATTCAAATAGATTCTCAATTCAAATCATAACTCAAATGTGCACATCTAAACACAAACTCAAGTTACAAATTCAACTCAAATTATAACTCAAATTTAACTTAAGATTTACACTCAAATCATCATAACTAAAAAATGTAACCGAACAAGTCCGAAATCGCTTGAGAAAAATACGGCTCACTTGAAAGATAGTGTTACTAGTGATGGTGGCATGAATTTGGGATCAAGAAACAATTTCATGCCTCGTAACGAGTTTATAGATTCAAATTTTTAATTCAAATTGAAATATAATTTTGTGTGAGAACTTTTTATTATAAAAAAATAAATTAGATGTGATTTTTTATAAAATTTTTAACTGTAATAAAATTAAAATTAAAAACTCAAATTAATAAAATAAATGATATCTCAGAATTTAATTTTGTGGCATCAATAGCTTTTCACGAGAGAATATTGTAGTATGAAGGTGGAATTTTTTTTTTTTCAAACCTACGAAAAGAATGGGCCTTAGGCTTCCATTGGTTTCTCACCAACAAATTCAAGAGTTCTGCCACGTGGAAGGGTTGAGGCCTCACTTTATAGACAACTGCTATAAAATTCAGGCAGGGATCAGATCTGGCGGATTTGTGTAGAGAAGAAGCCGAATCTAGTGGCAGAGAATGTGAGAGATCAATTCGAAGATTGGTGAAAAACTCTAATCTCAGAGACGGCGAAGAGCTCTGTAAATACATTGTGACGCTGCAACGATCTCCGGCAGGATCTCTGCTGCACTCTTGCTTTTGTTTCACTGTGTTAGTGTTCCAAATCTTCTCCCAGCGGCGCAAGCTCTAGGCACTCGACGAGAAGGAACCGACGGCGAGAGAGATGGAGGCCAGCGAAAGAAGCGGAGAAAGAGGTAGCAAGCGATTAGGGAAAGGACGGCGAGAAGGGCGGCGAAAGATTTGGAGAAGGGTAGAAGAAAGAGAATTTGGTTAAAATAACCAAGTAAAGTGAAAAAATAAAATTAGAAAAATGATTTTTTAATTTTAATTTTATTTATTTTTTCTCTCATCGAAATTAATGGCAACACTCTTATAAAATTAAACATCAAGATCAGATATTTCTTCTTTTTTTTTTTTTTTCTTTCTCTCTCTTCTTTTCTTTCTCTTTCTCTCTCTATTTTCTTCAACTTTTTTGGTAGCTTCCAATCCAAAAGTAAAGCACTCTAAACAAAGGAAATTGAGATTAAGCCATAGTAATAGGTGTAATCAAATATTTTTCTCTCGATCATCAATCATTTTTGCTAGTCACCGAGAATTTAGTTAAAATAATCAACTGAAAAAGTAAAATTAAGAAAATAATTTTTTAATTTTAATTTTATTTATTTCTCCTCCCGTCGAAATCAATGGCAGCACTCTTGTAAAATCAAACACCAAGACCAGACACTTCTCCATTTCTCTCTCTTCTTTTCTTTCCCTCTCTATTTTCTTCAACCTTTTTGGTAGCTTCCAATCCAAAAGCAAAGCACTCCAAACAAAGGAAACCGAGATTAAGCAATAGTAATAGGTGTAATCAAACATTTTTCTCTCGCTCCTCAATCATTTCTGCTAGTCACCACTGTGGCCGAGGATCTGAAACCGAGATTGAGGAGCAAAAAAAAAAAAGTAAAAAAAAAAAATAAAAAAGTCATTTTGTAAATAAAAATTTTTAAATTGTCATTTTATGAATAAAGCTTTTCTATTAGGTTATTTTTACAAAGGCCTCCTAGTCACCACTGTGGCTGAGGATCTGAAACCGAGATTGAGGAGCAAAAAGAAAAAGCAAAAAAAAAAAAAAACAGAAAAGTCATTTTGTAAATAAAAATTTTTAAATTGTCATTTTATGAATAAAGCTTTTCTATTAGGTTATTTTTACAAAGGCCTCGTTGAAGAAATATGAGAACCCAAATTGTGTGTGTGTTTTTTTTTTTTTTTTTTTTTTTTTTTTTTTTTTTCAAAAAAGAGTATGAGAACCCAAATTGTGTGTGTGTGTGTGTGTGTGTTTTTTTTTTTCAAAAAAGAGAATCGAAGGCTTTGTTTATTTCACAGTTTTTAATTTTAAATTTTTACAGTTAAAAGCTCTAAAAAAATATCATATTTAATTTTTTTATTATAGTTAAAAACTCTAAAAAAATATTACATTTTAACTCAAATTAAAAACTCGAATCGATTAAACGAACGAGACTAAAAAATTGAATCAAGACAATGAATAAAGGGGGTAAAAAGGTCTTACTAAGTTTAACTTTAGTTGGCACTATAGCATAAAATGTAATGGTTATAACTACCCTGACAAATGCCGATCCAAATAGAAAATACATGACAGAAAGATTAAAACTCCGTTCATTTTATCGATTTGAGTTTTGCTATAGTAAAAAGTTTCTAAAAATAATCACATTTAACTTTTTATTACAGTAAAAAACTCACATAAAATCACATCTGAACTCGAATTAACGAATTAAACGAGACCTAAATACCTTTTTGATTTACTAGTTGAGCACGTGCTATGTTATGCATGTGAAGAATAATTTTGTAAGTTTCATCTACGCGATCTCATTAGAAGTTAAGTTCATTAATTGAAATAAGAGAAAAAAAGTGTTTAATAAAAAAATTACATCAAAAGAATTAAAGCTATATAGGAGTTTCTAATACAAAAAAATAAAAAAAAAACACTTAAATAGAGACATATTTAAAATGATTTATTTTAATTAAAAGAAAGTGTTTTATAGAAATAAAAGGATATTGGGCCTAACTCAACCTAACAAAACCGGCTTGTTAGGGGAGGATTGCCCTCACCTTATTAAATGAATTATGCCAATATCTCTAGCCAATGTGAGATTCTAATAAAGTGAAAAATAGAAAATATTTCAAAGAATGATATTTTGAAAGAAAATGAACACCCAAAGAACATTAGAGGAAAAAACAAAGGGAAAGATAAGAAAAGTACTTAGTTTAACATAGTTTTATAAAGATCTATTATTTATGTCATTTTAAATAATATAGTATCATTATGTCTTTTTATTTTTTTCTTGATAATTATTTATTTTTGAGTGAAATAGTATAATGTCCAGGAAATTCATTAGTTTAAATCCGAGAGTTGGAAGTAGACAATGAATTCCCTGATAATTTGGGGTATTATGCACTTAAAATTTCTTATTACACAATTAATGAAGTAAATAGATGCTAATATTTTCTGAATGAAACTATAATACTGGTCTACATGTATAAATTTCTCATATATTTCCATCTTGTTTACTACCAAGAAAGAAAAACATTAAGAAGACAATAAAAACGAGAGTTGCCTACTGATAGTGAATCTATGTGCATGCCCAGTTAAGACTTCATATCAGAGAGTGCAAAACACGAAAAAAAATCAATAACAAAGTAGATAATTGAGCATAGATGTCCAACGAAACTAACCCCATTTCTAAGAAAAAACAAAAAGAACGATATAAGTTTTCTTAAAAAAAAAAAAAAAATTACTAGTCCCAATGTTTAGGCTAGGGATCAAGGAAGGGGTAGAGACTAATGCCTCATTCATTTCACCGATTTGAGTTTAAAATTTGAGTTTTATTACAATAAAAAGTTCTTAGAAATAACCACATTTAATTTTTTTTACTACTGTAAAAAATTCACATATAAAGTCGCATATCAATTTAAATTAAAAATTCGAATCAGCGAACTAAACAGACCCTAAAAGTATTGCGTATGCCAACTCTTAAAGTGAAAGTGTTGTGTATTGTTAAGGAGACATTGTCGGAGAAAACAAATATGGCTTTGGTGGAAACTCCATGGACTCCAGACTTGCTTCTAACATGTCTACCACCTTGCTCATCGATGGCCGATCAGCCGGGTTTGTTTGAATGCACCAGAAACTCACTAACAACATCTTCTTTGATATTTCGTTCTCTCCGTCCATTATGTTCCCCAAGATACTTTCTTCATTTTCCATTTCTAGATCCTTATAAATTCGATTTGGGTAATATATTTCACTAGTATGAGACGCTGCAGAATCAAAGTTCTTTCTACATCCAACCATTTCAAGAATCAACATCCCATAGCTATAAACATCGGATTTATGAGATACTCCACCAAAGGCCCGACTGAATACTTCGGGTGCAATGTATCCTATAGTTCCTCTAGCTCCCGCCGCAGACACGATACTCTCCTTCGTTAGCCAGAGTTTGGCAAGCCCAAAATCAGAAATTTTAGGACAGAAGCCGTCGTCCAAAAGAATGTTTTGAGGCTTTATGTCGAGATGCAAAATCCTCGTGTTACAGCCTCGGTGCAAGTATTCTAGCCCTCGTGCAATGCCAATCGCAATTTCATATAATGTTTTCCATTCTAAGTGACGGTTTGTACTCGAAGATTCTTGCGTGAATATGAACTTGTCTAGTGATCCGTTGGGCATATATTCATAAACAAGAGCTCTGTTTGTCCTCTCATAACAAAATCCAAGGAGAGTGACTATATTAACATGAGAAGTTCTACCAATGCTTGCGACTTCATTGATGAACTCTTCTCCATTACTTTTGGACTCATTTAGCAGTTTTACTGCAACCAAAGAACCATCAGGTAACTTACCTTTATATACAGTGCCATACCCTCCTTTACCGATCCTTTCTGCAAATGACTTTGTCATCTTCTTCACTGTTGCATAACTATATCGCTTTGGGGCCAATGGCTCATAATTCCTTATAAATGCTTTCACATCAAACTCCTGATCTCTTGTGTTTGTCTTCCAAATAACTATTCTTGTGCTCCGTATGTTTTCTCTCTTGTAGTAGCATGCGATCGCAATGGAAAATACAACGATCCCCGACACAGCAGCCCCAATGCCTACATTTAGACAACGATCTCTTGAAATCTCGTTGAGCAAAGTAAAGAAGAAAATTAAGCATCCACATTGTCAGGGTATATATTTTTCGTTAGAGAAGTGGTCCTAGAGTAAGTAAAGATTTGACAACGGTCATCGTACCTATGATCCGTCTACCATTTGAAAGTAAGTGGTAACGAGTAAATCCTGCAAGAAACTGGCAACGAGTAAATTCATGCGAAATGAATGGTATAATAGAAATTCTTATTGTTAGTGACAGACTTACGAGCACGTATGAACAGAATTCAACATCATTTTTTTATCTTATTTGAAAACTTTCCCACCAAAATTATATTTTCCCGCCAGCTTTTATAACTTTAGGAATTTTAAGTTAGTTATTATTTACATATATGGCAGTTCTTAAAATACCCTCCATCATATTCATGTACACGCCATCACTCAGTTTCAATAAAGCATACGGTAACTAGAAATACCATTGCTATTAAACAAGAGTATCATTTGTTTTGGAACGTTAAATCATACTCCTTTTGCATCACTGTTCCTTTTGCTCTTAATTTAAACCAATTTGAGACTCGAAGTTTGTTTCATAGTCAATTATCGAACTAGATGCTATAAAAAAAAAATATATATTATGTTACGTGTACTGGAACCTACAGTAACCGAATTAGAATTACACACTCAACAAACTTTTTTACTTTTTCTATCTACCCAAAACCCTTTACACCCTTGCCTATCTCGCTCTTAACTTTTCTCTCTCTCTCTCTCTCTCAAAAGGATACACTCTATTTCTACACTTTTCTCTTAGCATACATAAAGTCTTACACAAAACATTTATTTATAGACTCCTAATAATTTTTGCCCAAAAACAGAAAACAATAACTTACCCAAAAAATATAAAATTTTTACTTTCCGAAAATAAATTTGAGTCATTTACCCAATAATCTGCACCCTGACTCAAATTCTCTCAACTCACTTAATTGAGTATTAAATCTCGACACCCGTTATTGCAGCGACAATGCAAACTTCAACAATAATAAACTTGTATCAAATTCAAACTCTCATCAAACTTGACACGAAAAACTGTTTTCTTCTTCTTCAAAGTATCTTTACTGCTACAAGTCTTCAGCATCTTGACTTTATCATCTTCAACTGTTATCATTTTGTTGCACTCTTTTACTCCTGCAACTTATTTCACAACAAAAGAAGATTCTTTATGGCTTGACTCCACCTTCATAACTCTACCTACAACTATAGTCCCAATTAGTTTATACAAGTTTTTTACTTTTTTACCCTTTGTGGCTACTAAATCACCTCTCTTGACTTCCATAAAATCACCCTTCGCATAATACTCACAACCCAAAGTGTCCAAAGCTCCCAGAGAAATCAAACTTCTCATCGGTTGAGGAACATGCCTAACATTTATCAATGTCCTCACAACTCCATCAAACATTTTCACCTTAACAACACCTATTCTAACAGCTTTAGGACTAGAATCATTAGCCACCAACAAGTACCAGCATCACAATCAAATCACTTCTTATATGGACACATATGAATAGATTAATTCACTTTTGACGTTCATTATGTAATAACCCTAATCTTGAATATGTAAATGGCTTCATGTATATAACTTGTGTACTTAGATATTCCAAAGGCTAAGGCGTCTCATAGTAGTAAGCTAATAGACCGGTTCGTTGGATACACGATATATATTCGATGAAGGGTTTACTTATAGATATGGAATCATAGCTTTTATGAAAAGTAAAGGTTATCCTCTTAACGGTGTTATACTAGATTGAGAATGGACAAGGCCTTAGATCGTTTGCTTGGCAAATGATTTGTTATTCATATATGGTGAATAATTATTTTCTTATCAGATGTATAATGGATCTTTAAGATAGCGTGATCAAAAGGATTAATGGGCTTTAACCTAGGTTGATTATGGATATCATATGAGGGTATTGCATGTAAGACAAGGTCATTGGACAAAAGTAATCTACTGGCTTACGTAATTTGATATATAATTGGGAGTGCCGTTTCATATGATTTGTAGTGGCATGATTCGGAAACGAATAATTATGTAATTGTGTTATTTGGTATAGAATAATGATTACATGAATTATTGGAGCCTATATTATATTTGTCCAATCGGTCCATTTACTAGCTCCGCATAATTCCTTTATGGATGGTAATCAATCGGGATATTCATTATGCTTTTAATCCTTATACTTAGTAAAGAGAAAAATCCGGGACACCCCACTAATGGTGTAGGCATTTTTATCTAAGCTAACAATAGAACGGGAATTTTGTTTGATTTAATTAATGGGATAAATATTTAATTTGAATAAATATTTATTTTGAAAATATAAGATGTGAAATTTATATTGATATGAAATCAATTTGAATTCTAGAATATATGGATAGATTAATCATTTGAATGATTAATTTAAATATCTAAATGATCTTATCTAAATAAATAAATATTTTTTAATATGAAAATTATCCTATTTGGATTTGAATTGAAACAAAATCTTATCCTTGTTTTTCTAATAGGTGGCGACAACCTTGTGGATAAGGTGGAAAAGATTTTTTCCTAATTTAATTTAATTTTAGATAATTACTACATAATTATTTGATTCAAATAAAGTTGACATGATTTTATTTTGAATTTAAACTGGATTTATGGAACATTATCCATGGAGATAAAATCATAAGATAAATGTGATTAAATTTTGAAACAAAATTTTAAGATCCTATCCCAAGGGTGGCCGAATTTTCTAAGCCTAATTTAGGAGAGAAAATCGCCAACTTCAAGGATAAGAGGAGATCAAAATTTGAAACAAAATTTTAGATATCCTATCATATATGGTGGACGGTTTTTCACGAGGAAAAACCCAAGGATATTCGGCCACACTTAGAGATACGAGAGAGAAAAATATTTTCCAAAAATCCCACATAGTGTGCTCATTATAAATAGGATCCAAAGGACTCCTATTTTTTTTTAGAACACATACTCTCAGGTGAGCGAATTTGTTATTATAACTCTCACTAATAATAATAAATTCCAAGAGATCTGGGTGGGTGGAAGGAGACAAGCTGCGTGAATACTGATTGAGAAACTGAGTGCCCACACACTCCACCGTTCGGGAATTAGAGAATAGTAAAGAAGGCTAGTTGGTTGAAGCTGAACTTTCTTTCGAGGTATTTTAGATTGTTGAATAATTTATTGTATATGACAACACGAGTTAGTACGATCTTTTAGAAAATTTTTAAAATTTCGCTGCGCATGTTTTCTATTTTTCCAACATGTATCATACTCAGAAGATAAGCCTTCAAAAATGGCATTTAAGTGTTCTTTTTGAGGAAAAAAGGGATGACCAAAAAGACGCAACAAACTCACACACTGACGAATCTGTAGCAGATAGTCATTCATAGTCAAAGAATTCGTCATTATGTTCTTGAGCTGAGTTTTGTATTGGGACTTGGCACGAATTTGAGTAGCATAATAAAGATTCAGAGTGTGCCATACCTAAGAAGAAGTTTCACAATCTACAACTCGAGCAAGAATCGCTTTAATCACAGAAGAGAGAAGCCAAGAGTCCAATAGTTGATCTTGTTGTTCACAATCTTATTGTTCACAAGCTGTTGGAAATCTAGATTGATCCGTCTAATAGCTTTGTCTACAGCAGTAAGGAACTTCAATGGCAGCAAGCTCGACTCTGAAATGAAATCAAGAAGTTTGTGCCCTCGAATTGTGGAAAGAGCCAATTTACGCCATGGAAGGAAGTTGGAGTGATAAAGCTGAACCAAAATTGGATGTCTAAAAGAAACTGGGGCAAATTTAATAGAAGAACTTGAAGTTTCATTCATGGCAGTTTAGGTATTTCTCTCACCAGAATCAGGAAGCTCTGATACCATATTAGGAAGAAAAAGAAGAATGAATGTAATATGAAGAATTGTATATTAATTTGTCTCAATAGTTGAAGGTACAACATTAACTATAAATAGCTGAATTATCTTCTAACTAACTAAAACTATATCCACTAAGATGTTTACACATGTTATCTGAGTCGTTCGACGAAATCCCACACCAAATCTGATTATCTGGTATGCAGCTGTACAGCGAGAAGTTGCACCGATAGAGCATCGTCAGATCGGTGTTCCCGACGCCATAGTTAAAGATGCGAGAATTGAGAGATGTGTTGAAAAATTCCTTGGGGCAAGTCTCGTTCCACAGATCTGATCATGCCAGGGTTAGAGTGTGTTAGAGCTAAATAGAAACTACAGTGAAAGGAATAATAGAAACGAAGAAGAATGTTCTGGAATTGGGAAAGACTCGGCCAAAAATATACTGAGCTAAAGCAATTGTATTTATATGTAGTTTCTGTACAATGTGGAATATACAGTAGGACCACTAGTATACGTGGCAAAACAATGAAATACAAGGCAAAGAATAAAATGTACACTAGGCTAAAAATAATATGTACACTGTAGATTTATGCCTTAACATCCCCCCGCAAGCTCATTGGTCTCGGGAGAATAGTGAGCTTGTTTCGAAGATTCAAGAATCATTGAGTTGGGGAGGCTTGGTCATGGCATCTGCAAGTTGGTCTTCAGAGGGCGTAAACTGAACGCGCAGAGTATGTTGCATAACACGTTCTCTGATAAAATGATAGTCGATTTCTACATGTTTAGTATGAGCATGCATAATAGGACTGGTAGCAAGGTAGGTGGCACTAATATTGTCACATAGAAGTAGTGGTGGAGTAGGTAGAGCAACTTGCAACTCACGAAGAATTGATTCAACCTAGCTAACCTCTGTTGCCGCATTAGCAAGACCCTAATATTCTGATTCTACACTTGAATGGGAAACCACCTTCTGTTTTGAAGAAGACCAGGAAATAAGATTTGAACCCATGAATGTATAGCAACCACTAGTAATTCTTCTATCATCGGGGTAGCTAGCCCAATCTGAATCCGTATAACACACAAGTGAAAAATCTGATGAGGCTTGAAGAGACAAACCATGATGAAGAGTGGCCTTGAGGTATCAAAGGATGTGCTTGACAGCTTGTCAGTGTGTGGAAGTTAGGGCATGCATGAATTGGCACACTTTATTAACTGAGTAACTGATTTCAGGATGGGTCAGTGTACAATATTGCAAAGCACCAACAACATTGCGATAGGTTGTAGCATCGGAGAGGGGCTCTCCATCA